TGGGAGGACTGGACGGTGCACATCATGGGAGGACTGGACGGTGCACATCATGGGAGGACTGGACGTTAGTTTAGTTTAGTTTAGAGATAAACATTTAACAATAGAAGTCATTTATTGTGAAAATCTGGGAGACGTTCTTTTTCCCTCATGACGCATTTCAAACATTCATTTAATTTATGTTTGTAAGAAACCAAAAGTTTTGTTTAATCGCTGCCCTCAGCTGCAGACTGTACTGATGTGAAAATGTTCGGCTGTTTCAGCAGACGGCTGCGGGACTCAGTCGTTGTAAGTTTTATAAAGTTAAACATGTTCCCAGAAGAACATTGAGATCTTCAGTTCCTTCAGAACCATTCTTTTTGAAGTCTGCTTCAACGCTTGTTTCCTTAATGCTACTTTTAGCTTTTAGCTATTGTTGTGCTGCTTTTAGGTCTGCCTTGGACATTTTAGCTGACAGTTTTGGTGATTTGTAGCTTCAGCTTGACCCAAGATGGTAAACAATAAAGACTGGAAGGATTTTCATATTTCTCCTCTCGGCTGCAGGTTTTTACCTTCAGCAGAGCATTCTGTTGGTTCTTATAGTTTCTGACTCTGTGCAGCCGGCGCTGTAAAATCCAGAACTGAGAGTGTGTGTGCTTCTTGTTTTCCAGAACCTTTAGAGCGCTGACATGGAGGACGGGAAGCCGGTATGGGCACCCCACCCGACAGACGGGTTCCAGCTGGGAACCATCGTGGACATCGGTGCCAACAGCCTCACCATTGAGCCACTCCGACAGAAAGGAAAGGTGAGTGGACCCACGGGCTTCAAAGACGTCTAGTTCAAGACCTCTAATTCAAGACCTCTAAATCAAGTCCTCTGATTCGAGACTTCTAATTCAAGACCTCTGATTCAAGACTTCACCACTTGCTCTTGCCGAGATCGGATGCTTTTCCCCTCCCCTCCCCCTCCGCTTCGCTTTGCTGCTCTGTTTGTGAAACTGCTTCTGAGCCTCTCATGCATCTTCCGAACAATAATTATGGACTTGCTTTGATCAAGTCGTCAGCAGCAAATTGGGACCCGATCACGCTGCTTGCCTTTATGATGGCTTGGTTCGTGCCTCGAGTACCCAGACTCAAATGCTTTGGGCAGAATGGATCAGATCTCAGGAGTTTTACTCAGGCACGTTCCATCAGTGTGGCCATGTAATTTGGACATTTCGGAACAGTTTGGACCAACACAGACTCGATCTAGATGTCATTAAGTTCTGCCTGTCCCTAAAACAACTGTGTGTTTATCTGAATTTGGCTCCCTCGGCTGGCCTTGAAGACCATCTTATCTGAATTCGCCTGGAGAACATGTGATCTGATGCTCACCACCCCCTCCCTGAGGAATTTCCAACTAATAACCAGAGGAAACCAACTGAATAAACATTGTGTCATCATTTCAGGGCTCTTGGATTCTCATAGGTGTTGTCCTTGGCCATTCTCTTACATCCCTCGAGAATGTTTATGGATCTCACCGGAGGACACTGGCTGATTATTCCATCCTTATCAGAACTCTTACAGTGACCTCGAGAGCATCTATGGACATTCTCACCGCTCTTGTCGTCTCCCCCCTCTGCGGAATGTTTGTCACTACGTGCTTGTTTGTGCGAGGTGTTTTTTAATATTAGTTTTTCTTCTCAGCTAAGAAGAAAAAGTCTGATAGAAATTGTTTTGCCTCCAATTCTTACGTGTGTCCAGTTTCACTACTTTCTGTCTGTCTAAACAGGTCTCACTTGTAAATGAGTCTTCTAGGCTCAATGTGATTTATCTCTTTAAATAAAGGTTGAATGAATGAAAAAAGACCTGATTCAAGACCTCTAAATCAAGGCCTCTTAATTCAAGAGCTCTTAATTCAAGACCTCTAAATTGAGACCTCTGGTTCAAGACCTCTGATTCAAGGCCTGTAATTCAAGTCCTCCAATTAAAGACCTCTTAATTCAAGACCTCTAAGTCAAGACCTCTAAATCAAGACCTCTAATTCAAGACCTCTAATTAAAGATCTCTAAAGATCTCTTCAAAACGTGTGTCGATGTCCCTTGCCTGGACATGTGTTACTGGGGCCCCACCCTGGAGCCAGACCTTTAGGAGGGGCTCATCGGCGAGCACCTGGTGATTTGGTCTCTACACTTAGGGCCCGGTCGGGTTCAGCCTGAATGAGCCACATTAGTTTGCTGTCCTGTGGACCCACACGCTGAAGGAGGGGCCTCAAAAGTCGGGTGCGTGATGCCATGGGCAGTGGCTGAAGGCGGGGACCTTGGCGCTCTGACCCTGGCTTACCAAAGCTGGCTCTTCTTGGGACATGGAATGTGACCTCCCTGGTGGGGAAGGAACCTGAGCTTGTGTGTGAGATTGAGAGGTACGGACTAGATATAGTTGGGCTCACCTCAATGCACAGCATGGGCTCTAGAACCGATCTCCTTGAGAGGGACTGGACCATATGCCACTCTGGAGTTGCCCATGGTGAGAGGCAACGAGCGGGTGTGGGATCTACTCTTAGACTTGGTGCCTGTGTGTTGGAGTTTTCCCCGGTAGATAAGAGAGTGGCCTCCCTGCTCCTTCAGGTGGGGGGGACAGGCTCTGACTGTTGTTTGTGTCTATGAGCCAAACTGTAGTTCAGAGTATCTGGCCTTTGAGTCAGAGTAGACCATGTTTTACGACTCATTTGTTGAGGTAGCTGCCTTGAGCTGTGGCTGCAAGGTTGTCTGTGCTTCTCGTGGTGGCCATCCACGAACTCTGTGGTGGACATCCCGTGTTAGGGAAACTGTCAAACTGAAGGAGGAGTCCTGTCGGTCCTTGTTGGGTGGTGGGACTCCCGAGGCAGCTGAGGATTACTGGAGGGCCAAGCGGTCCACTGCCTTGGTTGTTGCTGAGGCAAAAGCTCAAATGTGGGAGGAGTTCAGTGAGAACTTGGATAATAACTCTCTGTTGGCTCCGAGGAGATTCTGGCAAACCATGAGGTGACTGAGGAGGGGATAGCAGCTCTTTACTAACACTGTGTTCAGTGCAGGTGGGTGCTGTTGACCTCAACCATTGATGTCGTAGGGAGGTGGAAGGATACTTCTCAGACCTTCTCAATCCCCCCCAAAAATTATTGATTCAGACTCAGTTCAACGATCCGTCAGCAGATAAACTCGTTAAATGTTCAGATTTTAACTTCGAACCCGATTCGTTCGGGTTCTAGAAAACGTCTCCGTCTTCTGGGTCCTGATTCAAGTCTCTGTTTAGTCTCTAAAATCCTGACGGAACCCCACCTTTACCAGACCGCTTGCAGGCTGTGCTAGGGTCAAAGGTCATCTCTTTGTTCTCGCTCTGTATAAAAACAGAAATTTACAGTAAAAGGTTTGTGGGTCAGAACCAGAACAATGACCTGTCTGTTCTGCTGCAGCTGGGTGGTACCAGCTTCTGACTGAGGGCTCGTCACAGTGTCAGACACTGAACCTTGGCCTGAGTCCAGAACAAGGCCCAGACAGTCTGTGTCCCAGAACCAGACAGTCTGTGTCCCAGAACCAGACAGTCTGTCC